CAGTTCATTGACTTGCATCGAACGCGTGCACCGATTGACAGGCCGGGCGCGGAGGTGCAACGGTACATCGTTCCTCTCGTCTTTTCTTCGCCGGCCCGTGCACGAAGTTGAGGTAGGCGAGGTCGCGTGTCTGACGTCACACGCGTCGACGTGTATGCGTGTTGCCAATTCCGTACGCAGTCTACGTGTACGTGTGCACGCGCCTGCGCCCGCGCTCCACCGTCACGGAGCCGAAGATACGACGACGACGAGCACGACGACACGACGACGTTGACGTTCCACGCGTCGTTCGTTACGTAACCGGCCGGGGGTCGTTGACCGATACGCGCTCGGGAAGTTCCTCTGCCCTGACCTACCTCTTTTCTCAATTAGCGGCCGCTGCGTGAAAAACCGGCTGCACCGAATAAGCCTCCGCCGCTTTGTCTTCCATCCTTTGTCTGATTCCGTTCTCGTTACTTTTATTCGTCGATGCTAATTAATCAAATCGTCAACTCGATACACTCGGTATTACCTAAATCATTCATAATATATAGACTGCGGGTTTTTATCAAAAATAAAACATACATAATAGACGATAAAACGAATTCATTTCGTTTATTTTAAGCATTCACTTCTGACAGTTTCTATATTTTCATACGTCGCATTTCTAGTTTCTACACTTACCATTCTCTTAAAAGATATTATATAATGATTTATTATTGTTTCTTATAATAATAATAAATTTATTATAAAATACGAACCCCTTTAGTTTATACGAAGAAATGAATCATTGATCACTGACAATATTCGCGATGAAATTAAAAATAGTAATTAGGTACATAAAATGACTTATAAACATTAAAAAAAGAATAAAATACTCTGTCGATGCAACTGAAATGTACCGCCCACGTGTCTATTGATACAGAAAGACTTCGATGGACAATGTTTGGTCGAATATTTTTCCGCGATGAACCGAAACAATGAACTCGTAAGATCGCCTCGTTCGGAGCGCAAGTACTGAGGTGGAATGCAGACAAGGATTATAGGAATCATCCGGTGCTCGGCTTGAAACACCGCGGTCGATAAAGCCCGGGGGTTATTCACCCGGCTTAGAAAAGGAATCGTCGCCGTTGAAAAGCAAACAAACCCCGAAAAGTGTGCGCGTAGATAGAAAAGGGGGTTCCAGCGTTTGTTCGTCGCAGGGGTCGAAGAGCGGGGAGAGGAGGGACGCCGCGAATATATTCGTTTGGCTGCGAAGGGTGGGGCGGCACGTCGTTCGAGAGGGTGGGTTCCTTACAGAACGCGAGGTGACGGCGACCGCGGGAGGGGGGAAGGAACCCGTTAGTAGAGCGTTCGAAGCGCGCTATGGTCGCGACGAGGAGCGCGATATATCGAGGGCTCGCCGGGAACGGGACAGGGAACGGGGAGATAAACGCGGGACGGAGATAGTCGGATCGAGCGAGCGGGAGACGGTGAGAGAGGGCGAGCGTGAGAGGGATCCGAGGAGCGAGAAGGAGCGCGCGCAAGGGGGACTCTCACTTTCACGCGGTGAACTGCGGGTGAACGTCCGGGAATTGGGTCAGAGCGTCCCCCACCGCCGGCGTGCCAGAGGCAATGTGCCGAGGCTCTATGCTCTCTGTGCTAGAAAGAGCCAGTCCACAGCCAAGCTCCGATACAAACGGTCGCTTCTTTTCGCCACCGACGAAAACTCGCGTAACGACTCGCATGATACATCGTACGGACCGAACAGTTACGCTCGACTCGTCTATCAGTTTGGTGGTTAGCAAGAGAAACGTGCGATCGTCCTCTCATCGAGCCTAGGAATTTTCAGTGAACCGCGAGGACACTTCGTCGCGAGTTCGACTTGGTTGAACGCGTTGACACACTCGCGCGCTAACAGAGCGCAGTTAAAAGAGAATTCAGTGGTGCGTGCACCGGTGCACGCGAATACGTAATTTCAAGGAGAGAGATTGTGAGACTGAAGAACGCGACGTACCGCTCGGTCCGGGTGAATTAATGGGGTGCTTGTGCGAATGTGACCTGGCCGCCCCGCGCACGGGGACCAATAGCTCCTCGGGGTCGTCTTCGGACAGTGACGGTCAGACTGACGAGGGGTTCGTTGGTGATTCGCAGGGATTCTTCCGGCGCAGCATTCAGCAGAAGATCCAGTACCGACCCTGTACGAAGAACCAGCAGTGCAGCATCCTGCGGATCAACAGGAACCGCTGCCAGTATTGCCGATTGAAAAAGTGCATTGCCGTCGGAATGAGCCGCGATGGTGAGTCTCTCAATATCTATTACAAACCCTTACCTCGTTGATTAGTTAATGCTGTCTACGCGGCGATATTACGAGCAAACGTTCAATCGTGCGATACGTCCAGTGCACGCTCTCCCTTTCGTCGAGCGAGACGCGTATTTCTGCCGAAAAATCGTTTCTAGAATGTGGAGTGCCGGGTCGTTGACCGTTTGCGTAACGCCGCGCCGTTCCCCGCGACACAGGCAGGAGTGTCGCAATGGGCGAAAGTGGCCGGTTCGCCGTTTGAGAAAGCAGCCGCGATTATGTGCCCCTCTCGATACGCGCGATGAGCTTCTTGCTTTCTTTTCGAAACATTCGGCCCGATCCCGCCCGATGACCTCTTTCCCGCCGCGAAATTCTCGGCTGCTAGTAGATTCGATCGGCGCGCAGACCAAACGCGAGGTCGTCGACCCACAGCCGCGTCGGTCCGCCGCGGATGCAACTATAGTACTTAATTCTCCGGATATATGGCCACCGATCGGGACCCGGGATTTGCCATATATCCGGAGGGATGAATTTCCTAGAATCGGTCAAGCGACAATAATTGAGGGAGGAACATAGGTAGGACTCAATGCTAGCAAGAAATGTTTTGAACAAAAGTTATAGGTACTACGACTACCTATAAAATAAGATTTTATACGATTTTATTGTACCCTCAATATTTCCTGAGTAATCGTCACGAGTATTAAATTGATTCTTCAGTAAAGGAGTACTAATTTATTGTTCATAACCCGTTAATTATTGATCATAGTGAAAAATGTTTCAAATAAGATCCTATGCAATTTCCTTGTAACTCGAATAGTTTCTAAATAATCGTAACATGAAACTGATTCCTGAAAAAGAACAAACATAAATTAGACTCGAGGCTCGATTTTTATTGTTAGCTCACAGCATTCGAGATCGCGTCTCTAAAAGTTCGTTTAACTCCCATAATCGCGTTTGTACTTTACATATCCAACGCTCGTTATCAAGAAGCAGCTTATTACTGACAATCTACAATGATTAGAATTTTATTTAGACAAATTTCTGTTGATCGAGTCGGATAGTAAGTTCGATAGCAAGCGTGGTTCTCGAGGTCAACAGTCGGGCATTGCTCGGCTTGCATGCGACTCCGCGTCCATAGAAAGAGTACCGCTACTCGCCGCTACGTACCCGGTGACCCTTCCACCTCCTTCGGCGCGCGATTCCCCACTTCCTCGATCCGAGTACACTATCGCGATCATCTCTCCTTCCACCGCGCCTCGCATCTCCTCCTAGCGATCTCCATCCCTACCGGATCACGTCCCGGCGACGACCGACAACGCGCCGTCGCGTGGCGCTACGCTTCGTGCGGAGACCTCGCGAACTTCTTACCCCTCGATCGTGTCCCTCCCTACTCAGACTCTGTCCCCTCCGTTCGTTTATAGTCAGCCACCTGGTGCTCGGGCGCATGCTCGATTAACAGACTACGGCCTGGCTGATGTTGACTGACTCGTACTACTGGCACTTCGCGAGCGAACGTTCGCGCAGAAACTTGTCCTAGGTAATCGCGCTCGTTCCTAGTCAGACTTACCGTGTTCGTCGATTGGCCACTCGTCGGACTTCTTAAGCGTTATTATGTATCCAGGGATGATATAATTTAGTTCCGGACAGTTTAGGCTGTCCTTGATGAAACGATTCATGAGCTCAGGTAGTTTGCGTTTTATGAGCTTAGGTTTTACGAGAGGTCGAAGCGACACGGAATTGGCATCGGGGGAAGAGTACAGTTAGGCGTTCGGGAATGATCTTGACGACGGACACGGTGACGATGTCCTTGTAGTAGACCGGTAGAAGCCCGTCTAGCGGTGGAGTTCGTACGTGACTCCAAACCGCGCGCGTTATGAATCGCGATCATGATGACCTCCGTACAGGTGGACCGGTCCTCCCGCGATCCTGCTCCTCCTTATTCGTTCGAGTGCAATTAATTCGAGGCACGTAAACTGCCCGATACGTAAACATGATTAACGCTAAACCTACTGACAGTTTTTATAGACTAATATATAGCATTTCTTACATTCGAGTACAATTTACTGTTGGCATTGGTACTTCCGTTCAGAACCAACTAATAATTACAACTTCAAATATTACCAAACGACTTTCGTTTTTATTTCTTATGAAAGAATTCAGAAACGTTTATTACCGTGATGGGTTCGGTGTTAAGAGTGGAATCGTCGTGGGGAGGTTGATCTCGCGTAGGGTACGATAGCCGATGACGGGAAAAGGAGATCGATCGTCCGTGAACAGATAAGTCCGACAGCTGGTGACAGGGCAAATAGCCAGCGAGCCGAGGGGTTGGCCAAGGTCGCCGAGGGTAGCTTACCCCCGGCAAAGGAAGCTCGCATCTGCGCACACGAACGTCTCGCCTCTCTGCCAACGGGTCCTCTCTCTCCGTCTTTCCCTGACCCGTCGGCGTCCTTTCTTCGTCGGAGGAAGCGAGACATCGCGTACGTCACTAACACGCATAGACTCGGCTACTCATACGTGCAACCCTCCGAGTGGTTGTGTGGCTGGCCGATACGCTCGCCGCGTACATTCGCTCGCTATATAGTATATATAGGTCGGCGGTACGCCTCATGCGGCTGTCGCTGAAACCAAGTTCAAGGCCAAAGGCTCGGCAAAGGCCACAATCGTGGCCGACGCCGATGGTGGGAGTCGTTGATGGCTGAATAAGTGGAGGGGCTGTTGAACGCGACCCGTGGAACATCACTCAGTCGGCGGTGATGCTGTCTCGCGTTTGCACGCGTTTTACTGTCGCGCTCCTTTCTTCGACTCCGTCGCGCCGTGTGCGTACAGCAAACCCGAGCGTGCACGCGCGAAAAATAACGTCGTCGGAGTGACTACTTGACCGCGCAGCGACGATAGTCAGCCGATAGCCGTGGTTCAATCGCAGGCAAGAGGAAGCGTAGATATAAACGGGCGACAGTTTAGCCGCGTGTATGCTGTGCCGCGCGAGTTACAAGAGTGACCGTTCCGATGGGAGGTTGATTTCGGTGCGCAGTGCAGTTCGCTCCGAAGCTAAACGCCGCAGACACGATTAAGAGGTTTTTCGTCATGGGAGACGAGTTACCTATATTGAAGGGAATCCTCAACGGAAATGTCAACTATCCTAATGCACGTAGGTGTCGAGAAGTCAACGCGTGCCTGTGTTCTTCCCACGAAAATACGTATCGATTGTTTCCCTTTCCTCGTCGCGGTGCTCGTGACTTTCTAACGGAGATGGATATATTCGTAGCACGAGGCCAAGGCAGACGGCCACTTTCGTTTCTCGCGAGAAAGTCGTGCGCGCTTTCCCCTCTCGATTTTTTTTCTCATCGCAAATCGACCCGCGGCGCGGCCACACGGCCGCGTTCCACCCGGTGCAGTGATACCGACGAAAAATGCATACCGTACGGTGTTCCCCGTGACGTTGCCGGAGATCAATTAAAATAAGGAAAACGCGGAGGTGTCTTTCGCGGAAAGTCACGCGTTACAGTTTCCCGGTACATAACTCGGATAGGAAAGCAAGCGCGGTCGAAGGCCGACGCGTTACCGCGTCCGTTGCATGATTCATCCATTGATCGCATTAACTATTCATCGACGCGTCCTTCCTCCTGCGTCCGCCACTGTACCCGACTGCCGTCGCCTCTCTAACCGTCGGCGATCCGTCTGCTTCTGCTTATAGCGGTGCGATTCGGCCGTGTGCCCAAGCGTGAGAAGGCCAGGATTCTGGCTGCTATGCAGCAAAGCTCCCACAGCCGCTCTCAGGAAAAGGCAGTAGCCGCCGAGCTGGAGGACGAGCAACGGCTACTCACCACCGTCGTTCAGGCACATCTGGACACATGCGACTTCACTAGGGACAAGGTGGCCCCGGTCCTGGTCAGAGCCAGAGAAACGCCTAACTACACCGCGTGTCCACCGACCTTGGTCAGTATATATATACTTATATATTACGTACATTCTTTCGACTCGTTCACTCGTTATCTTTTATTGCTCGCTTTGTACACGAGTTTCATCGCGTTTCGGATAGTACAATTTTATTACTGCTTACGTCAACGCAGATCCTTGGGATCATCCGACGTTCTACGCGGAAGCGGGACTAGTCGTCCTCCACGGCTAGAACCAGGAAATTGAACTCTTTTCTGCATTCCGCGACGAGGCACAATGTTTGCAAAGAGAAATCAAAATTTTGTTAACAATAAAATAAATAATTCGCTGTTCAAAAAATGAAATTAAACAAGTAAATTCTACAGATTTTTATTTTAACAAGAAATTAATAGATAACACGTAAACTGGAGATAATAGTCGCTCTCCGATTCAATATTAATTTATCAATTGAAATACTCGCGATTTTTCTCAAAACGGGTCGTTCTTCAATTGAAATTATGACCGCACTTCCAACCTCGATAGCGTCTTAAAAAATGGTTCTTTGTTCGTAAATAGTTTTTCAGTGATAAACTTCACGAATTTCTTGAAGCTTCGTGCTGTAAATCACATATCGATATTTAAACGCCTCGTTACTCGAGTAAAATATTTTGTATTTTTTTTCGAACTCCTCACTTGAAATCCAATACGTTCCAAGTATGTACAATCAATATAAACTGACGTCACCTACTAGTTCATAATTCAAACGGATCTACCTAGTAAGCAAGAATTTTCAACAAAATTCCTTTCTTCGACATAAGCTTGCGTGCGTCTATAAATTTTTACCTTAATATTTTACTTGAGTATTAAAGTGAAGAGCGTTGTAAATACTGAATTCTGAGACGAAAACACAGCAACGCGTAGCAACGTTCATTTCGCGTCTAATGAGGGTCATGTTCCTTTCTTTTGTTACAGGCATGCCCCCTGAATCCAAATCCCCAGCCATTAACCGGGCAACAAGAACTACTACAAGACTTCTCGAAGAGGTTCTCGCCGGCGATCCGAGGCGTGGTAGAATTTGCGAAACGCATTCCTGGATTCACGTTGCTAGCGCAAGACGACCAGGTGACTTTACTAAAGGCCGGCGTGTTCGAGGTGTTACTGGTCAGGCTCGCGTGTATGTTCGACGCCCAAACGAACAGCATGATCTGCCTGAACGGACAAGTGCTCAAACGCGAATCGATCCACAACAGCAGTAACGCGAGATTCCTGATGGATTCGATGTTCGACTTCGCCGAGAGGGTTAATTCCTTGCGACTATCGGACGCTGAGCTCGGCCTGTTCTGCTCAGTAGTAGTAATCGCCGCTGATAGACCTGGACTGCGTAACACCGAACTGATCGAGCGTATGCACAACAAATTGAGGAACGCTCTTCAAACGGTGCTGGCCCAGAATCATCCCCAGCATCCAGACATCCTTCGAGAGCTATTGAAGAAGATCCCAGACCTGAGAACTCTGAACACCCTACATTCGGAGAAATTATTAGCCTTTAAGATGACGGAACAACAGCAGCAGATGCAGGCCCAACAGCAGCAGCAACAGACGCAGCACGTGATTACAGTGCAACAGCCACAACAACCTTGGCCGAAGGAAGAGGAACCCGGCTCCTGGGGCTCGGCCTCGGACGTCACCTTGGACGAAGCTGTGAAAAGTCCGTTGGGTAGCGTGTCGAGTACCGAGAGCACCTGCAGCGGAGAAGTCGCCTCCTTAACGGAATATCACCACGTGGCTCCTCCGAGTGGTCACCACGCGTCCAGCGCGCCGCTTCTAGCCGCGACGCTGGCCGGAGGTCTGTGCCCTCATCGTCGGCGAGCGAACTCCGGCAGTACGAGCTCCGGCGAGGACGAACTTCACCGCGCGTCGCTCTCGAAAACGCCTCAACCCCCTCAGTGCCCGCGATTTCGCAAGTTGGACTCTCCTAGCGACAGCGGAATCGAGTCAGGAACTGAGAAACCTGACAAACCGGCTAGCAGCAGCGCGAGCAGCGCGCCTACCTCGGTCTGCTCCAGCCCGCGTTCCGAGGACAAGGAAGTGGAAGACATGCCTGTGCTAAAACGAGTGCTCCAAGCGCCGCCGTTGTACGACACCAACTCTTTAATGGACGAGGCTTACAAGCCTCACAAGAAGTTCCGAGCGCTGCGTCAGAAGGACAGCGCGGAGGCCGAGCCAGCTGTGATCGTGCAGCACACGCAATCCCAGTTGCATCTGCATTTGACCTCGCCGCCGGCGCGGAGTCCGTCGAACCAGCCGCAGCAGATTCAATGCCCTCAGACGGCGAGTTTGTTGAGCAGCACGCATTCGACGTTGGCCAGGAGCCTGATGGAGGGGCCGCGGATGACGGCTGAGCAGTTGAAGCGCACGGATATCATTCATAACTACATAATGCGCGGTGAGGCCAGCCCGAAATCTCCGCCCGTGTCGCCGTCGCCGGCGGAGCAGTGCGCGTCGACGACTACGATCATCGCGCGTACGTCCCAAGGATCTCAAGGGTTGCTACAATGCGCGACGAGCAGCTACTCGACGAGCAGATGGCCGGCTACCTCTGTCATCACGACGACGACGGGCGCCCGGCAGCAGCATCAGCAGCAACAGCAACAGTCTTCCTCGGACTACCTCATGGTCGGTAACTCGCCGGCATCGTCGCCAAAGTACCTGTCCGCGGCGGCGACGAGTAGTACGAGCACGAGTCCGCGGCCAGCGTCGAGCACCGCGGCGACGCTCGTGCTGTCCGGCTGCCCGAGCAACATGATGGAGCTGCAGGTGGACATCGCGGACAGCCAGCAACCGTTGAACCTGTCGAAGAAGTCGCCGTCCCCGTCGCCGAGGCCGCTCGTCGGCCCGTGCAAGGCTCTGTCCCTCGAGGCGTAGTGCGAAATCCCGTGATCAGACCGATCAAAGAGCGAAGGGGGTAACGCCTTCACCGGTGAGCGCACGGCCCGTGGTGTTGTTTCTATTCATTTCGCTCGCGACTGACGCGCGTTGTCGTTGGTGTCGCGATAAACTGATGTTCTGCTTCGCGTCGCTCCCTCCTCCCGTGTGACGGACGATGGAAAAGTGCCAGGACGCTCAGAGCGCGTGATAAACCAAATAATTTATTAATTTAAACTATATCGATATTTGCGCGAGGACAGCGACGAGGATGACAGTCGTCCGGGGCCGCGACGGTCCCGGTGATACGTGATATAATAACGTCGTAAAGGGGAGGAGAGTGTTTGTGCATGACGCGGGAGGGACCGTCTGTTTCTGATCGTATTTTGTTTCTTTACTCTTTACGTGTCGTAATTCGATGGACGCTGAATCGAACGCTGGACACGCGAGTGCCCGATAGACAAGGAGATGCAAGTGTCGTGTTTGGAATTCACCCGCATAAACGGAAGTTAACACCTGACCATCCACCCACCTACCACCCATTGACGAGCTGCGGTAACAACGCGAGAGGGGAGGCTTCGTTCGAAGTGATTTAGAACGACGGCCCTGTCGATGCCCCTTCGCACGAGCTGGAGGAGCAGGAGCAGGAGGAGGAGGAACAGGAGGAGGAGGAGGAGGGGGGAGTACAAGGTGAGGAAGAGGAATTCTGTGAACGCGAGGAAGGGGAGGATCGAGAGTGTTGCAGATAAAGAAATGAGAAATAATCTATCTTACATGTGATAATCATGGAAATCGCGCATCCTGTACAGTACTCCACCTCATTCATCGATCATCTACTCTACTATAATTATTGAATATTATTAAAAAGTAATTAATATTATTGTAACATGTGTAAGGTATAATAATCGTAAACGAAGAAACGTTATCATCTTGTGTATGTGCGCGTAGAGAAAAGTAAAAGGACGAGTGTCTGTGAGAAAAAGAGTACGTGCGAGAGAGAGTGAGAGAGAATTGGTGCATGAGAAATCGACCAGGAACAAAACAAAAAAAATTAAGCGAGATGCAAACGTGATGCGAGCGAGTGGAACGCGTGAGCGTGCATGTGCAAGTGAGTCGGGGCAAAAATCGCAGAAAAAAGTGAATTCGAACGCGGAAAAATTGTATCGATAGGAGTAAAATGATAAATGATAACGAAGAAAGAAAGGAACGAGAAGTGATGAGAGGAACGGCTTCTTTTAGCAGTCGGAAACGTAAGTTTAGAGGAACGACGTATTCTTCTAAATATGTATATGAGACTGATCCGGCCCGCCGCCGCGGCCTCCAGAGTTTGCAATCAACCAGTACGTATATGTTTGTAAAAGCGGACAAATTTGTGTCTCGTCTCCGTCTAATAAACGAGTCTGACCAATAAAATGTTGTCTATATAGTTTCCTGTTCTTCTCTCAAACCATCCAGACCTCGACACCACGTCGAGACCATCCCTTATGTTAAAAAACTAAAAGATAAAAATAAAATAGGTAGAGCTACGTGTTCGCACGTTCGGGTAAAAAATGGAGCAACGAGATGGACCCGGTTAGCGTAGCGCGGAGACGGGACGCAATGTGACGAATTAGGAAGTGAGAGCGTGTGAGATGCGTGCGTGCGCGAGCGAGCGAGAGAGAAACTGGAGCACGGAGAGTGATGAGGAAAGCTTTAGAACGACGAGAGCTGATTTAATTAAACAGGCAAACGGTACCAGAGAATATCGCGCGGTAGTAATCGGCATTACAAAGAAAAAAAAAAAACGAGACGGAAACAAGAAAGAACGTAGTGTATATAGTAGTAGATTCGTAAGGCTAAGTCCTAGGAGGCGCGAGTGAACATTTGCTTTACTTTTTCGAAAAACGCTCGGTAAGAGACAGAGGGAAATTAGTAGAGGGACGAGAGAAGCCGGAGAGATTATGAACGCGGCGGGCCGCCGTGTTGTCGAGTCGTCCCGCAACCCTGTTTTGCCCCTCCACCCCCGCCGAAGCCCCGTAGTGGTGCAGCCGAGAAGCATCGACAGGACACAGCATAAGGCAAATAGAACAGGGAATTATTGTTAAAACAGATGCTAATGGTAACAAGAAAATAGCACACTGGATCGTGGCGAGAGAACACGCAGCAACCATAGGGAACACGAGAAAACGCAACGCTGAATGTAACGACCGACGATTATACATGTGCACAGACGAACGCCGAGAGGAACGCGTAGGCCGCGGAGAGGAGAGAAACGCGTACAGTATATTGTGCGTTAGCTAGACACCGCCGAGAAATCAGTATGACGAGTGAGAAAGTAAGAGAGACCGAGTGAGTGCGAGAATAATTGTAAGGGCAAAATATGTAAACGCGAGATCACGGAGGAACGAAGGAAAACAGTTAGAGACGGAGATAGAGATAAATCTGCTCGATGGGCACGCAGAACACACCGTTGCTACATTTTTTGAGCGCAGCACCGTTCGGATCCCTCCTCGATATCACGCAAGCTGAAACGTTGAGACACACGAACAGAGAAACCCCGAGACGACCTTCGTATTAGGAAACCGCTCAGTGTATTTATTGTACTCGAAGACTAGAGTCATTCCCTCTTTTCACGCTGTGTATCAATCACAACCGACAGACGATGACACACGAAGACACGTACAGATACACATACACACACACACACACACGCCTCCTTCCCCGACTCGTTTTCGATCCCTCTTGCTGTCACCCGTGCTAACGACCCCCGGAAACGAACGCACCCTTGTTTCCTTCCTGCAGATTTAGCCGAACCCCGGTAGAGGAGAGCCAAGCTTGAAACAGTTTCGTCGATCGACCCGCGACCGTCCTGGTTTTAATCATGCGCGTATCATATATCTAATTACGCAGGCGGTCGCAATTATTATTTCGCATCTCAGCTAATTGTGACAGAACTGCAATTCTTGTGAACCTCCCCCGTCCGAGTATAACTGTCCAGAGAGCGAGAGAGAGAGAGAGAAAGAGAGAGAGAGAGATTGAGATGTCTTATTTCTCCCGAGATTCCTAATAATGTTTTACACGGTCCCAACCCTTCCCGAACAGTCCTCATTATCTTGGATATGTCCCCCACAAGCGAACTAGCGTTGATATTCGTAATACTTGTTATGCATAAACTACACATAATGATTATTATAGTAAACGATTACATAAAGTATGATATATTTCTCTATCCATTAAGAAAGGAGGAACGCAAGCAGCTGTTGTTTCTTGGTGGAAGAACCTCGACGAGAAACCCGTCGTAAGCGAGAGTATTGGCAGAGTGCGAACAACAATGAGCTATTGGGAATGAGAGAGAGAGAGAAAGGAAGCGTAAGGGAAAATAGTAATAATAAAACGGTAATATGAATGGTGGGATGATTTAAAGGAAAAAAAAAAACAATGTAAGGAGGAGAAAATAATACCGAAAGTGTACTGTACTACAATTGCAAGAATACAAACGCAGCCCCGCATATTGCCCAGTGAGCACGTCGTTTTGTACGCTTGGGAGTTGTGAGGTCGTCTGAATAAACATTGTCTGGTGAATTATACAGAAAAAGAGCTTGTCTCATATTTTTGCGCTCCCTCGAAGATCCCTTCTTCTCGACCGGCCCTATTCAACCTCCAATTTCACGTGGAAAATGAAACAATCATAAAACAATTTCACATAATTGAGAGGATAGGCTAGGTTGGGTAAATCTTTGTTAATCTTTGATCTATGGAAAATGCTTCTCGCAATTCGTTATTTCTTCTAATTCCATCGTCGTCATTGAGGCTGCAGTCGAGTAAAAACCAGGAATCATCGATTCAACACGGAGCCGAGAATCAAAAGGAGCGGCAGGACTATCGGAAGCTGTTCAATCGGAAAAGACGATAGACTCGGCGTCCCGGCGTAAAGATTGAAAGAAATTTATTGAAGTGTGCGGTTAGACTTTGTCGTCGAGAAAGAACTCCTTTGTACCCGGGAACAAAGTATCGTCGGCTGATTGTTTCGCGGTTCTCTCGATTACTTTCTTATTTCCAGCAAGAAAAGGCAGCATTTAACACCTCGAATCGAGCGATCGATCGTGATGAAAACTTTTTTCCCTTTCAATATCGCATCACCTTTTCAAGAGTTTTCAACTCTATAAAGAGATTTGGTGTTTTTAAGGTCTTAAGAATGGCTATACAGTCATTCCCAAAAGTTTATGTACCTTAGAGAAACGCATTTCCACAACCGTGCGAGAAGCCCGACACTTTTTACATACAACAGTTCGACACCGTTCGGACGATCAACGATAACGATAACTCCAAACCGTCGGCCCCGGCAGGTCCTCCACGCGTAACCTGACGGCACGTGGCCGCTCACACCCTCACATACACACACACGCAACTCTCATTCCCACATCTCGAAATTATCGAGAAAGAACCCAGGCGAGTAGAAATTGTGAACGGAAATTGGGTCATTCACGGTACCTTTGACCCCTTAAGCATCCTTTTGTTTGATTCAGTCTTTACTTAGAATGTTTCATTTCCAAAGATATTTCAACTGCGAACAATTCTGCTTAAACACAATAACGAAGCGTCATTTTATAGAGTGTCAGATAGATTCAACTTCATACAACTGCTAACCCGCAGATACGGTTACGAAAGGAAAACAAGCTGCAAAGCTGATTTGATCCTTTCGCACACCCGATCGCCTCTTGGACGGCACCTCCTACGCTTGCCCACGCGTACCAATTCGGCGTCCCACTTGCGAGAGCGAAATAAACACCGAAAAGGAGCAGTGAAAACGAACAGGTGAATCGCGTGAATATTAATCGCCTCGCGCGAGCCGGCGGGGAGTTGCGTAATTGCTCCCGAGAGCACGAGTGAACGATTTCCTCCGTACGAGGGTTTCCATGAACCGGGAGCAGCGCGAGAGCCACGGATTCCCGTAACCCGGCACGGCGGCGCGTGGCACCCCGTGGGCGGTGGTTGCCACGCAACCTGTCTCACCTCTCCGTGTCCTATCGTGAACTTTCGCCTCGCGTTGGTACACTGTCCGTTCCTCCCCCGTCCGAGGTTGCATTATACAGGAGCCGGGTGCATCTGCTGGTATTAAGCCACGCGCACCCTCGACTTCTCTCTCTCTCTTTCTCTCTCGCGTGCTCCTTGCCGCTTCCTTCCCCTCGGTAACGCTCCGATTGCCACAGGACGTGCAACGTGGGCGGAACTAACGTCACTGTGCGTAATAACAGAATTATACCTGTACGCGTCACGTCGGATCGCTTTCAGGTATTTCTCCCTGCACTTAAACGTCTCCCTTGTTCTTCGTACAATTCAGGTAAATCAGGACGCTTCGGGGTACACCTCCTCCTTTTGCCCTACGATTGCGTACCGAGCATGAACTAACAGGAGTCATTCGAATACTAATTGGCAGAGGTACAATACCGTTCGCTTTAATAGCCTCAGGTAGAAATTGACGTACGCCGACGACGCACGTCATGTCAAAGACAGGAATTTTGTTGAAAACATGAACATTTTCGTTGAAAATTCTTGTTTACTAATTAAAACCATTTACATTATGAATTAGTAGATGACATTAGTTTACATTGACGTACACACTTGGAAAATACGTTGTTGCTAGAAATGTAACTATATAACTATGGCTTCTGGTTACCACATGAATAGCCTCAAGTGTTTAGTCACAGTTGATGCTATGCGTTAGAACAAATATTCACAACATTTCATCATTTTACATTAAATTCTGTATATTTACATATCTGTGTTATTTTAACCACGTTTTGCAATAGGCCAGCCAAAACGAAACGAAATATTTACAGAATGCTGCCAATATGGAGAAATCATAAAATCTGTTCAACTATCAAATTTATCGAACGCGAATTTATCGCGCGACGATCAGAGAGGAAAACGGCAGGCCGAGCTCGTTCATAGTCGGAATTCAATTATTGGGCCGCGGCCCGATGCGCCGGGCATTGTCTTCTCAAAGCTGTCGTTCCAGCAGCAACGGACGTGGCCGACTCGAGGCCACCCTTGACTGCCGCTCGTCCCTCGGTGTGTGCCTCGTCCCTGAGCAAACGCACTACATTCCCAGACTGGGATTTAGCCTCCAGGACGCCCTCACGGACACGCCGCCATCCGCCTCGGAATCCAGACCACTACTCCTCCTCCTCCTCCTCCTCTCGTTGTTCATTCTCTGCTTTAAGTTTGTTCTACGCTTGTCCAAGTACCGAATATAGCATTTTTAATAGTAATTCTACTTCTGTCCCATAATAATAGCAGTAAGTGAGTATTTAAACGAGAATTATTGGGAAATGCAGCTGTAAGTTACGTTGTTGCACAAAATTCCGAAGCCTTCAATCAAAATCAATACGTCTGTCATTTGTTTTGACATATCTTCCAACTTTTTAGGTTGACCTAATTATTACGAATTATACGTATAATTATATATTGTAGGCAATATGATCGTTTCATCAGTCTTATTTATCCACAGAAGAAATTATTTTATATTTATCCATATACCATATTATATACCATATACACATAGTATCTATAATTATTTACATTTATCCATAGAAAGAATTAACCAAATTACGAGGGTTTCTAAAAAATATCTAAGGGATTCTAAAAAATTATTTTACTAATAAACAATTTAATCATGTAATTAATTCCACACATACTTCTCATCATTCATGCATATTTCAAATAAAAATGAACTCTTAAAAACCGAGAGGGCTCGTTGAACCAGAAACAGTTCGAAGTGTCGGGTCCATTCGCGCCTCGAATTCGCTGAGCCCTGTCGAATTTTACATCGTCGCGTAAGTACACAGAGGAATCGTCGAGAGGGACGGGAGCAAACACTCGAGACGGAAGCGTGAATCGGGCATAAGTGCGGTCGGAGTACATAAGGCGGCGCGTTCGCGTTCAAGGTCCGAGCGAGGTCGCAGACACATTCGAGGAGCGGACAAGCGGAGCATCCCCCCTTGCGCTGCGCGAGAGAAACCGAAACCCTCCCCGTCTACCCCTCGCCCCCTTATCAATACGCGAGACAACGAGGCGGCGGATGTGGAGCTCAATGAGACTTTGCATCGTCCGCTCTTTCCGCTCGCGACGGATCTCCGAGCCTCTCACACTCCGTATTCTCTTACCGTTCCAACCCCTGCCAATGTTCATGATTCTTTCGCTTTTTCATTCATATTGCTTATACATACATCGAGATACAACGTGTCAAGTAAATATCGTAATTTCTGTTCACGTCGCAATTTTGATTCACTCGATTTTTCTATAATGCAATTTCTAGCAATGCAAAATTATGGGAGAATGAATATGACATCGAATAGGAATTGTGAACGATAATTTATTTTTTGCTCCTGCTATTTGAAGGGATGAAATTAATTTTCTTTCTTTACAGAACATTTCACTATTTATTATTAATATTCAAATATTGTATATTATTTTTATTATTTTATTCGACGTCCGTATTTGCCTGTTGGAATCCTTAACGCGATATTGACACGAGACCGAAAACGAGCGAGGATCGAAGGAGAAAAAGAGCTGACGGAAAAGGGTGACAAAAGGGACCCGGCTTGCGAGCAAACACAAAGCGGCCGGTTTATTGGACGAATACGTCGAGGCCAAGGGCGTTCATTTGCATGACTATAGATCGAGGATTTAAAATAAAATATGTCCGCGCGGGTCATGTGGTGAAAATATTTCCGTTCGTTTATTTCTACAAACACCGATAACGCAAAGTGTGAGGCAACATAAAGTGCAATGTAAACGCGGTGGAGTATTAATAATCCAGGTAATGGCAATGCAAACGTGGTAATGCGAATGTGTTAGCCGGGGAGCAATTTAATAATAACAGAAAACCTATCGATAAAACGGATCGAAACGTACGGTTCTTATCTTCATTCATGGACACGGCGGGTGTATACATATAATAGTACGCGAAGGCTGATAGAAAATCTAGATTGCGCGTAGCATTGATACTATTTGTGAAAGCAAATAAGAGGAGACACGATGCACGAGTTTAGATTAGCGAGCGTCGTCGTAAAAACTCCTATTGAAACATATGTGTTTCATATTCTAGATTGCGACTACGTAGAATAAACCATTTCCAATATGACTGTAGAAAGTGAGCTCATAAATAGGAATTTCATTCTTATTTCAAACATTGTAATATAAATGTTCTTGGACATTGAATGAACTTTTTATATTATCTTAAAATCAGCAGTCTAGTTAAATTGTATTGGATTTGTATGTACAATTATATAAAAGTTTCTAATCAAGAATTTCTGAAAGTCATATTTAATAAGACTTTCGAATAATAGAAAGAATTATTAAAATTCTGTTTCATATC